GTAGAAACGGGGTTTCATCATGTTGGCCAGGATGGTCTTGATCTCTTGACTTTGTGATCCACCCACCTTGGACCCAAAGTGCGGGAATTACAGGTGTAAGCCACCGCCTCCTGCGTATTTTTTATTTTATTATTATTGTTTTTTGAGATAGAGTCTCACTCTGTCGCCTAGGATGGAGTACAAAGGTACGTTGTTGGCTCACTGCAACCTCTGCCTCCCAGGTCCAAGCGATTCTCCTTGCCTCAGCCTCTCAAGTAGCTGGGATTACAGGCTCTGGTCACCAGCTAATTTTTGTATTTTTAGTAGAGACCAGGTTTTGTCATGTTGGCCAGGCTGGTCTCGAGCTCCTGACCTTGGGTGATCCACCCACCTCAGCCTCCCAAAATGCTGGGATTATAGGCATGAGCCACTGCACCCAACCACTAATTTTTAAATTTTTTGTAGAGATGGGGTCTCACTATGTTGTCAAGGATGGTCTTGAACTCCTGGGCTCAAGCAATTCTCCTACATCAGGCTCCCAAAGTGCTGGGATTACAAGCATAAGCCACCACGCCTGGCTCAGAAATTTAATTTCAGACATGTTGGGTTGGAGGCAGCCATTAGACTTCTGAGGGCAGATGTTAAGGAGAAATATATGAGTTAGGAGATTTTTTTTTTTCTTTTTGGTTGTCGTCATTGTTTGAAATGCAGTCTGGCTCTGTCGCCCAGGCTGGAGTGCAGTGGTGTAATCCTGGCTCACTCCAATTTCCGCCTCCTGGGTTCAAGTGATTCTCCTGCCTCAGCCTCCTGAGTAGCTGGGACTACAGGTGCCTGCCACCAAGCCCAACTCATTTTTGTATTTTTAGTAGAGACGAGGTTTCGCCATATTGGCCAGGCTGGCCTTGAACTCCTGACTTCAGGTGATCCATCTGCCTTGGACTCCCAAAATGCTGAGATTACAGTGTGAGCTACCACACCCGGCCAAGTTAGGAGTGTTTTTAAAAGGGTTGGAGATTTAAAAAATTGGGCATTACTAGCATGAGTGGTATTGGAAGTCATTTGTCTGGATGAGACCATCAGAGGAGTGACTATGGATACAAAAGACTTGGCCACTCCACTGTGGTCACTCTGACGTTAAGAATTATTGGAGAGAAGAGGACGAACCCGTGCTGTAGAAGGGACACCAGGAGAGTACGTTCTCACCAGTGCAAATGAAGACAGTGTATCCAGGAGGAAGGAGTGATCAACCAGGTCAAATGCTGCCGAGAGACTAAATAAGAGAAGGACTGAGAATAACCATAGGGTCCAGCAACACCGAGGCTACTGATGACCTTGACAGGAATAGTTCAGTGGGCCAGGTGCGATGGCCCAGGCTTGTAATTTCAGCACTTTGGGAAGTGAAGGCGGTGGATCACAAGATCAGGAGTTTGAGGCCAGCCTGATCAACATGATGAAACCCCGTCTCTACTAAAAATAAAAACTTAGCCAGGCGTAGTGG